GGGGAAGAACCTTGTCCTGAGATCCAACCTAAACATTCCCTCAGGTCCTGCCCCTGGTCACCAGAGAGAAGAGGTCGGTGCTGCTCCTCCACTGCTCCTCACGAGGATGTTTTTTATTTAAGATTACATTGGCTCCTGAGTACAATTTGCTTCATTTTCACACCTCACATTATGAGGCCCTTAAAACAAAAAACAAACAAACAAAAAAAGAAAACCAAACCAAAAAACACCAACCCAAACAACTCAGCAATTTCCAGTTGTTGTTTGTTGTTAAATATGACATATAAAATGTTAGGTCAAGCGTCTTCAGCACACCAGGCTACAGTGTTTGTTTAAAGCTATGAGTAAAGCAAGTCATATGAATGTTTCCAAAGACTGTATTCCAAGAAGTATTTTTGGAAACATTAATGTTGTGTTTTTTAATGAAGGCCACATTCTGAGGCTACGACACCATATGTCACATTCATTTCTGGGCTGGAAAAAAAAAAAGAAAAAAAAAAGAGAGAGAGAAAAAGAAAAGAAAAAAGAAATGGAAACTATGTTTGGCTTTTAAGTGTTTTTGGACTGGTGTCTCTGCATGCTTGTCATTGTTCCTTGGATGAGAGGAGAGTTCTTGGTCTGTTAATCTAGTCCATCCAATATATATTACACTCCATGGGCCTGACTCTCCTCTGCCTAGAAGTGTGTGCAGTCATTTATACTCAGCAAAGTGAACGAAGACCTGAGGGGAAAAAAACTGCCACTAGGAAAGTTGGTTTTCCTTAAATTCATTTTCCATGAACGTTTTGGCTTCATTGGAAACCTGTGTCTGAAGCTTGACTTTTCAGGCTTCGAAACCAACTTGAAAATGGGAAAGGTACTTGTCGTTTTTCCATTGAAAACTTGCAACTTTTGGAAGAATAATGACAGAGTTTCCACAAAAATATTATTTTTTTTTCTTCAGAAATATCAGTGAGAGGCATGAAACTTGTAAAAAAAAATTTGAATTGTTCTACTGTGTCCCCATCACTTCTGACTGGTCGGTGTTTAGGTTGGGATGTGGTGGAATGAGCTGGAGATCTGCAGGAAAAGGGTTTGCCTTTCTCAGTGCTGTATCCTATGAATAATTCACAAGCGTCCTGTAAATGATTTTTTTCAGCTAAATCTTTCCTTTTTTTAAACTGGATTCCAGGTGATGAGGTCTCAATTTCTAACATAACTTTTTGTTATTAGCCACTAAACATATGGCCCAGAACTGCTCGAGTTCATGTGGTTGCAATCTGCAACAACATCCATTTCTTCTCTGCTCTGACAGAGGAATCTCCTAATTCCCATCACTTCCGAAATTTATGTCACCCCCAACTTTTATTAACACACTGCATGTTTGCTTAGAACACATTAATCAAAATTTAAATATTTTTGGCAGCTGGATGTTTTTTTGTTTGCCTTAGGGAACTATTGGAGAGGGTTTCCAGGACCCCAGAGAGGTTTCTTTTTTCATTTGAAATGTAAATGATTTTTTACAAATTGAACAAATATGTCTCTGCAGCACCAGCCCAATAAAGTTCACATTCATGACCAGGTTTTTCTGGGCAATACTGAAATAAAAATAATGACGAGTGATTGTGTGTTTGATTCATTTTCTGCTTGAAAACCATTAGCACTGAACTTGCCTGCCCATGTTACTGAAGTCTTACATCTAAATGAGAGGTTTCTCCCAGGCATTTCTGCCAGTGGAGGAAAACAAGCAAAATTACAACAGGCAATTAACTGCCTCAAATATTTGGCCAACTTTAAGAGGGTTTGTGGTTCCTGTGATTTTTCAGGAGAGCCCATCCTGATTTGAAGGTTACTTCATGGGATCATTAGAAGAAATTCTCATAGTGGGGTCACTAGAAAAGTTTTTGATTTCAAAATCAATTAGGATTGATAAGGACATTTCTAACTACTTGACTTTCTTGCTGCCTCATATTTCCAGGTCTGTTTTTGAGAGCTGTTGTGTAATGAATGTCAGAGTCTGTACTCTTAAAAGAATTGCTTGTGATGGCTGTGGAGTGAATGTGCTTGGATTTGGGGTTATGCAGTTCTGCCCCAGGAAATTGAGGCAAAAATGAACTTTCTCTTTTGTTTCATAGGTTTCCAATGAACAAAGAAAACAAATAACCCCAAGTGTGTCCTGTCAACTGATGCCACGAGGCAGAAATGAGGAAGATGACAGACCAGAGTGGTTCCTACAGGCCCGTGAGCATCCAGGGAAATAAGGTCAGCTATCGAGGCACTTGTCAAGAAAGGCCAGAAAAGGGGGTGAAGAGGCTGCAGAAGCGGTTCCTCCACAAGGATGGCAGCTGCAATGTCTACTTCAAGCACATCTTCGGGGAGTGGGAGAGCTACGTGGCGGACATCTTCACCACGCTGGTGGACATCAAGTGGCGCCACATGTTCGTGATATTCTCCCTGTCCTACGTGCTCTCGTGGCTGTTCTTCGGGCTGGTGTTCTGGCTCATAGCCATCCAGCACGGGGACTTGTTCAGCGACGAGGGGACCACGCCCTGTGTCGCGAGCGTGCACAGCTTCACGGGGGCGTTCCTGTTCTCGCTGGAGACGCAGACCACCATCGGGTACGGGTCCCGCTGCGTCACCGAGGAGTGCTCGGCCGCCATCCTCGTGGTGATCCTGCAGTCCGTGCTGAGCTGCATCATCAACACCTTCATCATCGGGGCGGCCCTGGCCAAGATGGCCACGGCTCGGAAGAGGGCTCAGACCATCCGTTTCAGCTACTACGCCGTGGTCGGCCTGAGGGACGACAAGTTTTGCCTCATGTGGCGCATCGGCGACTTCCGGCCCAACCACATGGTGGAGGGGTCCGTGAGGGCTCAGCTGCTGCGCTACAAGGAGGACAAGGAGGGCAGGATGACCATGGAGTACAGGGACCTGAAGCTGCTGAACGACCAGATCATCCTTGTCACCCCGGTGACGGTTGTCCACGAAATCAACAGTGAGAGCCCCTTGTACGGCCTGGACAGGAAGGCCCTGGCCAAGGACAACTTTGAGATCTTGGTCACGTTCGTCTACACGGGCGACTCCACGGGAACCTCCCACCAGTCCCGGAGTTCGTACATGCCCGGGGAGATCCTCTGGGGCCACAGGTTTAACGATGTCCTGCACGTGAAGAAGAAATACTACAAGGTGGATTGCTTGCAGTTTGAGGAGACCACCGAGGTTTATGCCCCTCACTGCAGTGCCATGCAGCTGGATCGGAAGGAGCAGGAGTGGAACCGAGCCGAGAAGACACGGCAGAAAGAAGCAGAGTCATCAGCACTGGAGATCAAGACATTTAGCACCACCCAAAAGTCATTCAGTGCTGTTGCCCTGGTCACCAGCTGTGAAGAGCCAGAAGACCCAGTGACAACTGTCACACCTTCTGCAGAGGTTTCTTACCGAAAAGCAGCCGTGACCCTGAGCAGGCTCTCCATAGAGTCCCAAATCTAGCTCTGACTGCAATTAAAGTCACTCCCAACAGATCCTCCCATGGTAGAATGCAAACAATGAACTCATGTGCACAAGTATTAACGTCACAGACCTCGCTGACAGCATGCCCACAGTGCTGAGCTGTGAGGAGGAGCTTCTCACTGGTCTGGGGGGGTATCAGTGACAGAACAGCTCCCAGTTGGGTTTTTAGGGAGCTGCTGCACTTGAGCAAACTCACTGTAAACTTCACTACCCTGCAGGGTTGGACTTACCCAGAGACAGATAATGACCTTGGCAGGGAGCAAAAACAATGCACTGTGCCCTCGAGGTCAGACTTTTCAAAGCTGCCTAATTTGTTTGGAAAACCAGTTCCCAGTCTCTCTAAGAGGCTCTGAAACTCCACCATCCCAACAAACCATTTCTCTCCAGCAGTTCAGACAAAACCCACATCCCAGGGTTCTGCTGGGGAATCTGTGGGGCTGTTCTTCACAGGAGGGAGTGAACTGGGAAGAATAACTGACCCCAGTGTTACTGGGTGGCTTTGGAAACCTGCCTGTGCCCTGCCTAGTCCTGTGGGATCCGCAGTGGGATCCTGGAGAGCTTTTCCACGAGCCATTCCCAGAAGTGCTGATCTCTCAGCATCTTGAGGGTCGTGGGATATCAGCTGGCTCGGGGCTGTGGGGAGGCTCTGGGACGTGGCTCTGGTGGCTCAGAGGGTTGGCCAAGCTGCCTCACGTGCACTGATCAGAAATCAAAAGAAAACCTCCAGCCTGAAACCAGCAAAATCACATTGAGCCTCAAGGAGAGGATCGTGTGTTTAGAGTGAGCTGTGCAATATTTGATATCAAAGCATCTTTCATTTCATTTTGCTTTTCTTTTTAGTATATTGTGCTTCTTGGAAAAGGCAAAAATCAATCTGGAGAGCAAACAGGGTGATTTTGTCAAAATGAGATATGTTTATCTCCAATTGCTGTGTAAAAATGATCCTTCACAGAGAAATTCAACACACTCATCTATCAGCTCAATTTGGAAAAAAAGGAGAGTTGATGCTCTGAAGTTGGCTGTAACATGGAAGTTCCATGCTCTGTAATTGTTTAATAAGCAATATCTCATGGTGCTTTCTCCACCTGATGATTACAGTTAATTTGCATTATGTTTAATTTTCATACTAATGTAAAATAATTATTTTACCACCACTGAGTTGGTGGGGTTTGTCTCACCTGACCTCAGCTGCAAAGAAATCCAGTGTTTGCCTGCTGGTCGAGGCTCCCTGTGGTTACTGGACCTCCTCTGTCCTCACAGGGGAGCTCATCCCACCTTACTCTGGCTTTTTAGGGAGCTGCAGGCATTCCCACTTATCCTGGAAAAGTTCATCCCTCTCCATTTGTTGCTGAAGGAGATGAGACGACTGTTGTGGAAATGCTGGCTAAGTTTAGGCTGCTAAAATTAGGTCTGACGAGTCATTCACATCATTCTGACTAATTAATTGGGTTTTTATGAGCTCTTCACATTTAATGAAGAAAAAATAGAATACTGAGTCTTTTTTCCTGAAATTTACTCCATGTAGTAACATTGCTTTATTATTTTAATGTATCTTGCATTTCTCTTTTGCTGGCACATCATCCCTTCAGGTAAAACTGAAACCTGGAGGGATTTGGTTATTCCAAAGATCATTATTTCACGTGCTGATTCACCAGCAGCATCCATCTACAACAGCAGTAGAAAACATCTTCTTCAATCCTGGATTTGAGCACTGGCAGACATTGGGGAAATAGTCTAAAAAAAAATGGGAAGGAATGTAGGAAAATGTATGAGGGTCTCAGTACTTATGTGGTGTTGGAAAAAAAAAACAACCCCATCCGGATTGTATAAAATAGAATATAACCTACAAGACATGGGAAATAATCCTTCCACACTCCTCTGGTCTTGGCTGGGTTGATTTATTCCATGTTGGGCACCACATTTTGGGAAAGACATGGAGCAATTTGAAGAGAATCTGGAGATGTAGAAAACAGGTTGTTAAGGAAGCAGGGAAATGACTTAAAGTGTTTCAGTCCTAAAGGGAGTCGGGAAACACACAGTTCTCAAACACAGAATTGCAGTTTGAGAGAGGGACAATCTGGTGCATGGTGGGTAGGGCAGGAAAACATGGGATTAAACTGGAGACAAAAGGATTGGAGTTAATTAGGAAATGGTGTCACAGAGGAGGTGAAGCAGTGACGGAGCTCTGGGGTGTGTGACCTCTGTGGTGGCTCTCGGGAACCTGATGGAGAAAACACTGCCAGGACTGAGGCAGGAAGCATCCAGGTGCATCCAGAGCTGATCAGTGGGTTGGGAGCTGTGGTGAAACACCAGAATCCTCCCCCTCTTCCACAGGGTGCTCCTTGGAGCTTCCAAAAGCCAATACCTTGGGTTGAAGTTCAGCAGCTTCTTCCCAGCCACCCAGAGGCAGGAACTGGCAGTCCTGGCTGGAAGTTGCTCTCCCTGTTCCCGACTTTTCCACAAAATTCACCAGATGAAGCAAAATCTTAACAACAAAGAGCAAACACAAACCACTTTGCATTGGACTCCTGACTCATGATTATAAACTGCATTGGGTTATTTTCCCTTGGAAAGGAGCACTATTGTTCCGGGTCAAGATTAATTTATGTCAAGGGGAATATAATAGGAGATTATTATATAATTTATTTTTCCAGCCTTGCTTACCACCATTCATTAAGGCCTCTGGCATCTCCTTCCCCATTATCATGTATCATTTAGTGCATATTTTTTGTGAAGTTGGTTTTCAGATGTGGGACATAATATTTATCCCCTTGTTTATCCCTTGTTTCTTACACACTGTGCAGGAGGTCTGAACTCACTTCAGGAAATGAGGGGTACTTTTCAGGGCACGAGAAGTGTTTGTGTAGGAAATAAAAATTGCTTGTAAGCTTTTTTTTTTTAGCTCTTAAATCTTTGTTGGTTTGAGCTGGGAACCTGCAAACAAAAAGAGTTGGTGTCTGTGGTGGGGAGAGGAGGCCCAAAGTAGGGAAGGAAGAAGCATCTGACAACGGAGTCACTTCCAGGCAGACAAGAGGAAGTGGGACAGAAATGGAACCAGAACGAAACAAGAAGTTGCAGTTTTTATCTGGGCTGAAAAACGTGGATCCATGTTTCCGTGGGGCTTAAAGTCACAACACAGGGGCTGCTTCCAAAATTTAAAGCTTTTTATGGGGTGAGTCCTGGTGGCTCAGGAAATGCTGGGGGGAATTGCATGAACATCAGGCAAAACAAGTATGAATTTGAGTAGCTTTGTTTCGGGCTCATGTTACTCCCTAGAAAGCCAGGAGGTCTTGAAATTGTGATATTCACACTTAAGCAATATTTTCTTCATTCAAAACAAGACAAAGTCACCTTGAACTGTCACAAATGCGCAAGAATTTCCCACCCAGATGTGGGATAGAATCATGGAATGATTTGGGTTGGAAGGGACCTTAAAGATCACCCAGTGCCACCCCCTGCCACGGGCAGGGACACCAGGTTGCTCCAAGCCCTGTCCAACCTGGCCTTGGACACTTCCAGGGATGGGGCAGCCACAGCTTCTCTGGGCAACCTGTGCCAGGGCCTCCCCACCCTCCCAGGGAAGAATCCCTTCCAAATATCTAATCTAAAAGTCCCTGTTTTAATTTAAACCCATTCCACTTTCTCCTATCACTGTGTAAAAAGCCACTCTCCCTCTTTTTCATCATCCCACTTTAGGCTCTGGAAGGGGCTCCTGGGAGCTCCCCGGCACAGCCTGTCCCAGCGGAGCGCTCTGTGCCCAGCACTGACCCAGCCCGGGACGTTCATCTCCGTGTCCTCCATCCAGGACGGTCCCGATCCCGATCCCGATCCCGATCCCAGTCCCGATCCCGATCTCGACCCCGATCCCGATCCCCATCCCTGATCCCCATCCGGTCCAACGATCCCGATCCCGATGCCCTATCCCGGCCGATCCCGATCCCATTCCCGATCCCCACTCCCCATCCCCCCCATCACCGATCCCTATCCCGCGTCCCGATCCCGATCCCGATCCGATCCCGATCCGATCCCACATCCGATCCCCATCCCGATCCCCATCCCATCCCCATCCCGATCCCGATTCCCGGTCCCGGATTCCCGATTCCCCATCCCGATCCCAATCCCTATCCCGATCCCCATTCCCGATCCGATCCCGATCCCGTCCCCATCCCCATCCCGGTCCCGATCCCGATTCGATCCCTTCCATCCCCATCCCGATCCCAAGTCCCGATCCCGATCCCATCCCGATCCCAATTCCGGATTCCGATCCCGATCCCGGATCCGGTCCCGATCCCGATCCCGATCCCGATCCCATCCGATCCCGATCCCGATCCCGATCCGATCCGAATCCCCATCCCGGTCCCGATCCTGATTCCGATCCGTCCCGATGTCCCCGATCCCGAATCCGATCCGATCCCCGATATCCCGATCCCGATTCCCGATCCGATCCCTCTCCGGGCAGCACTCGGGCCCATTCGGCCGCCACCTCGCGGCTCTGGTGGAACTCGGGCGGCGCGGAAGCGCTCCGCGAATCATCGGCGGGACACATCGGCGACAGTCGGCGACAATCGGGCCCAAGGAACCCCCGGCCCTCAGCCCCGCCGCCACTTCTCTGCTCCAGCAGTCACTCCAGGGTCAGTTCATGCAGCGCTGCTCAGCCAGCACCCCCGAAGTGGCACAACGTGCTGTCCCATCAATGAACCCTCCAGCCATTCAGAAATAGCACCCCCCAAAAAAGCAGTGTTATAACCAGAGAACCTGTTTTCAGTGAATTCCTGGCACTGCCTGACCACCCCCAGCAAACCTGCACCCTCTGGTTTCAGATTCTGCAGTTGCCCTCTCAGGTTCAATACAGTAGATCAACCCAGAAAGGGCATTATTGTGTTATAAAATTGATTGGACGTGTCCCCCATCCAGCTGATTTATTCTATATCGTTCCTCTTTATATATAGAAGCAAAAGCTGAGAGGTGGCTCTATTTGCCAGCTTAGGTATATATAGCCAGGCCAACCTGGCTCCACTCCACCAGGAACCTTTCAAATAGGGCAATGAGCTATTTGTGGCCAAAGGGACTGACCTGGGGAGGTATCAGTGACAAGAGGCAAAGAGCTGCTTGTTTGTGTGGCCCAGGGAACATGTGTGAGTGTAGCAAGGCAATGCTGATGTTTATTATGTAAAACTACACACACAGAAGGGCTCCAAAATAGAAATGCCTTAATAATTATCTCATCTCCAGTGCCATGTCCACTTCTGGATGCACATTTTCCATCGAGCGGCTTCCTGCGTTCTCTCACGCACGGGAGTAGCTCCAATGGAACATCTGCTGCACCATCCATATCATCCTCCTCCTCCACAGCCCTTCTCCAGGCAGCGGCTGGAGGAAGCTCCACAACTGTCAGGCAGCTGCTCTGCTCTGACTACTGGGCATTGCATTTGTTCCTCGTGTTTCCCCATCTTTGATCACGAGCCTCTCAGACTTGCCTGACAGGGGAGGGGCTATTTTTGGCCTGATGTTCATGCAGCTCGATCCCTGCTTGGCCCAGGTGCCAAAATGAGCTGCTGGCCTTCATGTGACCGTGGTGCAAACCCACAGTAAGGAGGAGACTGTCCCAAAGCCTCGCCAGTGCCACTACCCTGCACTGAAATGTCTGTCCTGGGTGTCTCCAGCAGGAATTTTGACTGATAATACCTGATTGTAACAGCCATGCCCCGAGTGGGGTGTGAAAAACAGGAATTATGCATCAATGGGTAAGTTTCTTTTCAGATCTCCAACTGGAAATCAAAAAGAGCCTGGTGGGTGCACACAAGGGAAAACCTTCCTTGCCCACACAGGCCAAGGGCCTTACTCATGGGGACCCCACCAATTTCAATGGGGTGGTGTCCAGAGTGACCCGTGGTAGGATGTGAAGTGGGAAACCACATTTGGTAAGTGTTTATTGCAGTTCCTGGAATTACTCACTGTATATGCTGATTAAACCCTCCTCTCTTCAGTGATCACTTTTTCCACTCTGCTACAGGGTCTTTTTTCTCTTCCCTCCCATTTTATCCTTGCTTTTGGAGAAGTACCAAGTAAAGCAGTCGAATATAGTCCTTTACAGTCACACACACCTTTACACGCCACAAGCCATTTTCCCAACTCCCTCCAGCAAACCTATGGCTGATAGCACAGGAGACCCAGAACCACAGAATTCCTCTGATACAGACCAAAGACGTGGGAGGATGGATGTGAGAACCTTACACTCCAGTCCTGGGGATCTGGGCTGGGAAGCTCCAGCGGGGAAAATCACGGCAGAGTGGAAGCGTCGCATGTGAATCGACGTCTGCACATGTGGATGTGGGACTGAAATAGCTCCCATCCCTCTCCTTATGTTAATAAAAGGGGATGGTTCCTGCCAATTCCAGCTCGAGTTTCATCCCCCTGAAATATGTGCACTTTCCCCAGCTGTATATTTGGCCTGGGGTAATTAGCACAGTGCTAATTTTACCTGAGCTGATGAAAGCGCTGGAACAGCCTCGCCATATAAAGGGAGGATCCACACGCTGATTCAGCCTTCTGGGGCCCTTTTTGGGCAAAGAAAGTCATGACTTTGACTTGGAGATTTGCTTCTCAGGGAGGCTTCTTCTTCCCAGAGTTATCTGACACACAGCTGAGGGTAGGGAAGAGCAAGGTCAAGGATACTCATGTGCTGGAAACTAAAAGCGCTGAGCACTGAAGTGTTGCCTCGGAGTAAATTACCTTATGCACATTAAATTACCCAACTAGATCTGCTTCTTCTCTTTGCTCTCCTGTGAGAGAAGCCACTTCCAGACACCAAAAGCACAAAGATGCTTGGAAGTCTTTTATTTCTTTCTGGGCCTTCCAAAAAGATTCAAAGTCAATTGACATTTCAGATGAAGATTCAGAACAGACACTTATTCTCTCCAAGTCAGTTCAGCTTGAAAAAATTACAGTGAAGTATGGTCAGAGGAAAAGCAATTTGCCAGGGCTTGAAGAGTGTGAATAATGCAAAGCAAACAGCTCTCTGCATCGTTCACTTGTGTTTTCAAGTGTGCTCTCCTGCACTGTGCACCCATCCTGCCTTCTCCAGAGGTCCTGGGCACCTGGAGGTGCATCACTGGTGGGGACTAAGGAAAGCTGAGCTGGTTGGTGATTTCTGACTTCTGTAAACTTGGAGGGTTGATTTATGGTGTGTGGTTTTTTTTTTTGTTTTGTTTTTTTTTTTTTTTTTTTTTGTTTTGTTTTTTGGTTTTTTTGTTTTTTGTTTTTGTTTTTTGTTTTTTTTTTTTTTGTTGTTTGTTTTTTTTTTTGTTTTTTTTTTGTTTTTTTTTTTTTTTTTAACAGAAGAGCCAGAACTGATTGGCACTGCTGGCACTTGATCCCAAGCTCTGGAGTCACCCCATCAGGAAAGAGGAACAAAGCCAGCCCGTTGTGCTCTGCTCTGGGCTGTTCTGCAGAGGGTTTTTTGTGCCACCTTTGCTGTCAGAGAGCACAAGCACCTTCCAGTACTGTCACAGTGACACGACAAGCCCCTGCTCATTCTCTGCCTCCCTTTGTCTGTCCTGCTGGCTCTCTGCCCCTTTACCCTTTGCCACTGATTGTCTCTCCATGTGATCTCTGCCCTTTGTCAAATCAAGACAGTCCCAGCCTGGGTGCTGGGTGTCCCCTCTCCTGTCACCCACAGCCCCAGGAGGTGTTTGGCTCTCAGGTTAAGAGTGTGCTCAGATTAAAAGGAAACACATATCAAAGTGCAGCTCTGAATGAAGGTTTTCTGCTCTGAGGCCTCTGAGGAGGGATGTGGGGCCTTCTTGGAGTCAGCCTGTCTTCTTTGTGAGCCAGGGACCCACAGAGTGTTTCTGCCCGTCTGCTGGATGTGCTGCCTCGTGCCAGCCCAGTCTGCAGGCAGGGAAGGGACCCAGGCACCCTGTTCCCATGTGGGGAGCCCTGGGCAACCTCTTACACCCAGGGACATCCTCCTCCAGCGATGCCAGCACAGCACCACGATGCCACCAGGTCTCACAGCCACCGAGGGAGCAGCAACTTTGACATCTAGGGACTTTCCACGTTGATTATTTAATACTTGATGGCAAACAGCACAATCTTTTCCCCTCCAGGCCCTGTCACAAGGTTGCTTAATAGGGTTTGGGCATTAGCTCAAATAATATCAGGGGATCAAAGCCAACTTCTGAAGTATTAGGGAGATTACAGGGAAACTCGTGGCTCACGCTGAGGTGCAACATTTCCTAGCACAAAACAGGGGAGACCCTCCTTCTGAGCCATCCCTTCCTTTTGGCATCTGGATGAGGCTGTACCAGAGCACAGGACGTACAGTTTGGCCCAAATTTCCATGCAGGATGCCCAAGGGTGGGTGAGGAATCCTTCCCCTGCTTGTACATGAAAGGCAGAATTTAGCCTGGAGGCAAAAAATGGCATCAGAAAAGCAGATAAGCAGCACAAGATCGTGATAGCCAAAGAGAGGAAGCTGTGGCATTTACTTGCTGAGGATTATTTCCCCTCTGATGACGGATTTTTCAAGTGACAGGGGTGATTTAGCGGGTGGGCCTTGGAGGGCTGGTCCAAGTAATCAGTCAAAAACAATATCAGGAAGTTTAACCTACAATTTTGAGCTCGGTTTGGTTTTACTCCCCTGCTAAATTTTAGTTTGGAGGGACGTTTAGGAAGGTGCCAACTAATTTAATTTGTGTCTCTCCTTCCCGGCCCTGCAGGAGTTCCCAGCAGGGCTGTGCTGCCAGAGACCTGCTCCCTGTGTCCTGGCCAGGCTGTCCTTGCTCCTTGGCTTCCTGACCAGGGAAGGGCAGGCACAGGGCAGGAGAGATGCTGGGATGGCTCTGAAAGCTCTCAAGGCTCTCCCAAAAAGGTGGGAGTTTTCAGCACCAGCTTCAACAGCTCCAGGACCCTCCCTGGTGCACCTGCAGACCTGGCTCAGGAATTCAAGTGTTCACCAAGGTTTGAAAAATCCAGCAAAAAACACCCACCCACCCACCAGTCCCCTCTCAGGGAGGGGTCTCCTGCACTGCCATCAGGCTGGAAGTTCCCACTGGATGTAAATAGGCCCAGCACTGGCTCCTCAGGAAACTTCAGCTTGTTTTCTGCTGTGGTTTTCCTTCCACAATGGCCAATGATCTAACTCTCTGTTTTTAGCACAGTTTATTTGCTTTCCAGGAGAGAAAATAAACTCTGATATTGTCACTTACGCTGTGGCCACAGACTCCAGGCAAATTCTGAGGTTCTGGTGCAAACTGATAGAAAGCACCAAGGACATTTGATCTCAGCTAATAGAGCAAAATCAAAAGTGTGAGAAAAGGAGCAGAGCGGTCATTTGTGTGATGTTAACACAAATCAGACACTTTCAAGTTTATAAATGCAGTTTTCACTGGAGTGGGTACACTGATGGGGAATAAATTACAGTGATAACAAATGCTCAGCAGCAGAAATGCAAGATGCACACTGCAGTGCAGGAAAAGTAGGGCTTTAACAGAGGCTCTCTGAGTCCCTTCTGGGTGTAGTGTTTGCTGTTGGAAGCAGGTTTCCCCCTGTACCCACATATTTCACATCATCCTCTCTCTCAGGAACTACCAAACATCACCTGACAAAGTGAAGCTGTCCAGTTTGAATCCCTTTGGAGAACCAAGCTGTGAATGCAAACAGGTCAGTAGGAGAGATGCAGAAAAGACACCTAATTTACCATAATTTTTCTTAGGAAAGACAAAACCTTTCTAGCTCTTTCTGTTGCAACTGACTTTTTATTTTTTCTTCCTTGCCACTCCCTTTCCCACTAGAAACTTTCCATGTTTCTGCCCATGGTGGCACACTCAGGTCCCTGCTTTCTCCCTCCTCTTACAGCCAAACACAAGCCTGTTCTCATCACCCCTCCTCCTCCTCCTCCTGCACACCACTCCAGAAG